AAGACTACCCATCTTCAAGGTGAAGTCTTCTTATCTTCAATTATGGGTGTTGAAGTCTATACCCATCCTCATGCTGAAGTCCACTCATCTACAACTGTGGGAACTGAAGTCCACCAATCTTCAAGCTAAAGTCCATTCATCTAATTCTGGGAATTGAAGTCCGCCCTCTTCGAGGTGAAATCCATCCATCTTCAGTGCTAGGAACCACAAACTATCCATCTTCAAGAAGAAGTCCACTCATCTTCAGTTCTGGCAATTGAAGTCTGCCCATCTTCCAGGTGAAGTCCATCCATCTTGAATTCTGGGTGTTGAAGTCTACCCATCCTCATACTGAAGTCCAACTCATCTTCAAGGAGAAGTCCACTCATCTTCAGTTCTGGAAACTGACGTTCACCCATCTTCAAGGTAATGTCCACTTATCTTCAGTTGTGGGAATTGGAGTCTTCAAGCTGACATCTACTCATCTCCAGTTCTAGGAGTTGACGTCCAGCAATCTTCAAGCTAAAGCCCATTCATCCAATTCTGGGAATTGAACTCCGCCCTCTTCGAGGTGAAGTCCATTCATCTTCAGTTCTGGGAGTTGAAGTCCAGCAATCTTGAAGTTAAAGTCCACCCATGTTCCGTTCTGGGAATGAAATCTACCCATCTTTAACTTGCCAAACTCAAGAAATAATGTTCAAGGGCTTCCCTTCCAGAAGCTTCATAGAAGGTGGGAAGATCTCACCTGTCCCTTCTCGGAGCTCAAAGGTGGGGTACCCCAGGATCCATTGATAGCAAGGGAAACGATGGGTCTGCCCCTCAGGGGTCTCCACTTCAATGAAGCTGCAGTTCCAGTTGGTGGGAGGGAAGAACCCGTAGGGCTCCTTATGAAGACGCACCAACAGGATGTCCCCCAGCTCCATCTGGGTTTCCACCACAAATTCCTCCACCTGCAAAGCCAAACAGGAAAGCTTAAGTGCACCTGGACTACAATTCCCACCCATTCCTAGCAATTATTAAGAGTGGAGATGGAGAGAGTTGGGAAGGCAAGGAAGGGAGGATCAGAAAGAAACTCTGAAAGAAAGGAAGAAAGAAAGAAAGAAAGAAAGAAAGAAAGAAAGAAAGAAAGAAAGAAAGAAAGAAAGAAAGAAAGAAAGAAAGAAACTCGAAAGAAAGAATGAAAGAAAGAAACTCTGAAAGAAAGAAACTCTGAAAGAAAGAAAGAAACTCTGAAAGAAAGAAAGAAAGAAAGAAACTCGAAAGAAAGAATGAAAGAAAGAAAGAAACTCTGAAAGAAAGAAAGAAACTCGAAAGAAAGAAAGAAAAAAAGAAAGAAACTCGAAAGAAAGAAAGAAAAAAAGAAAGAAACTCAAAAGAAAGAAAGAAAGAAACTCTGAAAGAAAGAAAGAAAGAAAAAAGAAAGAAACTCTGAAAGAAAGAAAGAAACTCGAAAGAAAGAAAGAAAGAAAGAAACTCTGAAAGAAACTCTGAAAGAAAGAAAGAAAGAAAGAAAGAAAGAAAGAAACTCTGAAAGAAAGAAAGAAACTCGAAAGAAAGAAAGAAAGAAACTCTGAAAGAAACTCTGAAAGAAAGAAAGAAAGAAAGAAAGAAAGAAAGAAAGAAACTCTGAAAGAAAGAAAGAAACTCAAAAGAAAGAAAGAAAGAAACTCTGAAAGAAAGAAAGAAAGAAAGAAAAAAGAAAGAAACTCTGAAAGAAAGAAAGAAACTCGAAAGAAAGAAAG